CCGTGTTCTGCGACTCGAGGGACTCGATGTAGGACGCATCCTGCTGCAGCTTGGCCTGGATGCCTCCGTGAATGGTCTCAAGGCGGCCGACGGTCACCTGGAAATAGTAGTAGTAGTAGTAGTATTCAACGATTTCTGCATTCATTCGCGTACGCTTTCTCTCACTCTCAGCACTGTCACTCACCTGGAAATCGGCCTTGTCGCTGGCATACTGCTGGGCCAGCAGCAAGTTTTGCTCCTGGGCCTCCTGCAGCTGGACCCTGAGTTGCGCCTCCTCCTTGCGGGGCTCGTCTGCTGGCTCCGATTTATCCTCAAGCTGCAGGCGCACTTGCTGAAGCTCGCGCTGCAATGCCTGAATGGTGGCATTGCGGTGCTTGATCACCTCCTTGGACTTGTCGAACTTGGTGGACTTCTGCTCGAGCTGGCGGTACAGATCCGCCAGACTGTGCTTCTGCTCCGACTGCTGCTGCTCCCATTGGTCCTGCTCGCGTCGCAGCTCGGTGTTGGCACGGACCGTGTTCTGCAGTTCCACGTGCAGACGCTGCTGCTCCTCGTCGCGCTGCTGCAGGAGATGTTCCTGTTCTTGGAGCTGCTGCTTGAGTTGGCGCAAGGCGTCGCGACTCTCCAGATTCGCATGGATCTTGGTCTTCAGCTCCTCGTTGAGGCGTGCCACCTGCTGCTGCAGGTTGACCACCAGCTCGTGATCTATGGCCGCTTCCTGGGGCCGCTCTGAGAGCTCCTTGAGCTTCTGCTCCAGTTCGGCGTTCTCTTGGCTGCGCTTCTTCAGGTTGAGGGCGTACTTCTTTAGCTTCTCGCGCAGATCTCGCTGCTTGTGCTGCTCTTCCTGCTTGGCCTGGTCGAGGCTCTGGTACAACTCCTGCAGCTGCTGGTTGAGGGCCTCGATCGTTTCTTGTTTGGTAGCCAGCTCGCTCACCTGTTGCGCGGCCAGGGACTTGCTCACCCTCAGCGACTCCTTGAGATGGCCGGGATCTTCCTCCTTGGCGCGCAGCTCCCGTATCTCCGCCTGGGCGGACTGTAGCTCCAGGATCTTCAGATTGAGCGTGTGCTCGCTCTCGCTGAGATTCTCAATCAGTTGCTGCTTCTGTTCGGCAACCAGGGCCTGGAGTATGCTCATCTCCCCCTCCATAGACTCGGCGCGTGCCTCCAGCTCGCGTCGAATCCGCGTCTGTTGCTCCATGTACTTCTCGTGACCCATTTCCTTGTTGTTTAGGACTTGATGGAACTGCTCCACCTGCTGCTGGAGCTGCGTCAGCTTGGCTTCCTGCGAAGCTATCTGCTGCAGGTGTTCGGATTCCCCGCCGCGAAGATCGGCTATTGTCTGCAAGTGTTCCTCCAGGGTAGTCTGCAATTTCTGCACTTCCTTTGCCAGATCTGCCTGATGCTCATCCACCGCTGCAATGGCCAATTGGGGCTCTGGTGCTGGGGCTGGCTCGTAGCTATCCTGGAGTTCTTCTAGCTCTAGGCGCAGCCTGGACAGCTCTGCCTTGAGCTCTGCATTCTGTGCCGTAAGTTTTTCGTACTCGGCCAGAGCCTTGCCATTGGGAGCCGTCACAGCTACCACTGTCTCCACGACAGTGACCGTTTCCACCGCCGTGCTGGCTTCCTTCACCTTCTGCAGGAGTTCCGTCAGCTGGGTGTGGCAGTTTTTGGCCTCCTTGGCCAATTTCTTGGACGCATTGATCTTGGCCTGGCGATCGGCCTTGCGGTACGCCTCCAGCTCGGAGTTCAATTTGCTGAGGGATCGCTCGCACTTGTCGAAGAGGGCGGGACCACCTTCGCCGGCATCGAGGGCGGCCACCACCTCTGAGGAGCGCTGCATGGAACTGAGCTCCTGCGAGAGGTTCGAGCGCTCGCTCAGTTGATGTCCTTCGCTCAATCTTGACTCCAGCCGGGAGTTGTCAGCTGTTAGGCGCATCAGTTGCTCCTTCTGGCCATCCAGTCTCGCCTGCAAGTCACCATTCTCCGCCGTCAGCTGTTCCATCTTCTCGAGCACCTCGCGTCGCTCGTTGGAGAACAGCTCGATCCTCTGGAGTAGTTCGCTGCGCTCTTCCCTGAGCAGGTTGAGACTCTCGCTGGCATCGGCCGTGAGATCCGTTTGAGTAAGTTCACTCACCACACTGGGCAGCCGGGGAATGGGCGCCGCCGACGCCTCTTCCTCCTCTTGCTGCTGTTGCTGCTTCTGTTCCTGGGCATCGCCCTCGCTGGCCGGACGACGCGGGGCGAAGCATTCCAGCTGCTGCTGCGACGGCCGCTCAACAATTTCGATGGACTCGGCGGAACTGGAGGCACTGATCTTTTCCAGCTTGTCCAGCAACTCCATGTTCTCGTTTACATAGTGCGAAAGCTTCTTGTCGAGTGCCTCCTTCTCGGCCTGGAGTGCATGCAGTTGCTGGATCTGCTCGTGGGCCTCCTGCTCCAGTTGCTGGACGCGCTGAGAGAGATGTTCCTCCAAGTGGACTTCGCTCAGCTCGGACTCCACGCGGGCGGACTCGTTGCCCTGCTGCAGAGCCTCCAGGGCCTGCTGCAACTCCAGTTTCTGTTCCTCCAGTAGTCGGACTGCCTCCCTTTGGAGTGGATTGATCTCAGGCTGCGTCTGTCCCTCTGCCTCTCCATCCCCCTCTTCCAGCATATTGGACAACTGCCACTGGCCCTTCTCGTCCTCCAGCACAGTGATTCGCTGTTGCAGAGTCTCGTTCTCGGCCGCCAAAGCGGTCAGTTCCTGCTGGCCGTCCTGGGCCTGAATCTTCTGCAACTGCTTCTCGGCCTGCTTGCACTTTAGCTTCAGCTTGATGTTGACCTTGTTCGACTCGTCCAGCTTCTGCTTCAGCTGTTGAAGTTCTTCCTTCAGCTGCTCGCTGGCCGCCGAGGAGTCCTCCTCGTCCAGAAATAGCGGCTTGCTCCGGCTGCTCTGGGCGAGTTTCTCCTCAAGCAGGCGCAGGTTCACATTGAGCACATTCAATTCAGTTGTCTTCTCGGCCAGCTCTTCGCTCTGACTGGCCATGGCCGCCTTTTGTTCCTCCAGTTGTAAGCACTGCGCGGCTATCGTCGCCTCCAGCTGGATCAGACGCTCGGAGACGTTGCTGTCGCTCACCTCCAGCTTTGTGGGGGAGTCGGCCTCCCGCCGCAATTCATCGTAGGCTGCCTGGAGGGCGCTCAGTTGCTTGGCCAGCTCTTCATTGACCTGCACCTCTGTGGTAGTCGACTCGGGTTGGCTGCTCTGTTGCAGCTGCTCTCGCGCCGTGCTCAGCTCCTCAGTGAGCTCGCATCGCGTCGTCTCCAGCATGTCGTTGATGTTTTCAAGCTCTGACAGGCGCTCCTTCATGGTCGCCACCTCAGAGTGAAGTCTAGAGTACTCCAGTTCTTGCAGGCTGTTTCTCTCGGGCACCACATCTGCACGCATCTGCTCCAACTCTTCGTCTCTACGCGTTAGAGTGCGCTGCAGCTCGGCCCCGGACAGTTCCAATTGCTCGATGAGACTGGCCCGCCGGGCCAGCTCTTGGCGCAGCTCCAGCATTTCTTGCTCCTGCCGGCTCTGTTTGAGCTCGGTGATCTTCATCCTGTTCTTTAGCAACTTCATCCGATTCTCGTCCATTTCGTCTGCTTGCTGCTGCTGCTGCTGCAGATCCAAGGCAGAGCGATGTCGGGAGACGGGAGCATTGGCCTCTGGCGCCATGGCCTGCCGTAGGTCAGTCATCGAGGAGCCCAGATCGGCATTGGTGTGGCTGTGGCTGTGACTGTAACTTTGGCTGAGGCCAGACCTGACGGAGAGCAGTGATTTGGCCATATCTCGCTTTCGCTGTTCGAGCAGCGCCCGATTCTGTTCCGTGCGCTGTGTGAGCATCAGAACTTTTTCACTGCCACTAGGCTGCAGCAACGAAATATTCAGAGAGTCGTCCTTTTTTTCCTTTGTGGGCGTAGCCAGGGGAGTGGAGGCATCGCTCACTGCGATGCCACCAGACCGCGCCTTGAGCACGGTCAGCTTCTGTCCCAGTGTTTTCAGCGATTCCATGGATTCACTCTTGCTGGGCCGCCGTTGCGCTCGCTCCCGCAGTGCCATCAAACGTTCCTAAGGCAATCGATATGCATTTGCTTGACAACGAAATATTGTATAGAGTTAAGGGGGGCTCTAGTCACCTGTTGTTTGGACAAATTTTCTTTTAGACTATCCAGGCGACCTTTACCCCTGCCTCCGCCACCACCTATCGTTGTGCTGGTGGATACATTCTGTGAAGGTCAAAAAGAATACGTTTTTGGATTTAGTGGATGTACGAACGGGAAACCGTTCCAGCACAGCACTCACTTGTAACAGGGACAAATCATTCGAGCTGCCCGTTATCTGCGTATATCCTTCGGCATTTTCGTTTTCGTTTTGCTGCAAAGAGAACAAGGGCTCAATGATCCTTCCAAGGGAGCTCTTTCGTGGGGTTACGCACCTGGACAATGGAAAAATCCAATGAACTTTCCAGGCCAGCAGCATCCCTGGCAGTGTTGTCAGCCATGTGGACGTCGTCGACTCGCGTCAATTACAAATCACCCTACCTAAATATCAAAAACAAAAACTAGATAATGGAAAAACAAAATAAAGCACTGGCTATCTCCTTGGAGGATATTTCCAAAGTCGTGTAGTGTCGTTGCTGAAGTTCGCTTCGCTAGCTATCGACATTGGCAGATATATGATGGATGCAACGAGAGCGTATCAACCGACGTGTGTTTAACATATCAAAATGTACATAATAAATCTGGTGCAACTCCAGTCGAAGTTTTTGGGAATTCGTGGCAAATGACGTGTGTTGTAGTGTTTTTGGGCAAAATTACAGTCTGACCTGACTTCGATAGACGAAATATCCCCTAAAAGCGTTTTCTTTTTTAGTGTGGAAGTCGCCTTTGTACGAAAAAATACCAAAATCAAGTTACGAATTTTCGAATAATCGCATTTAACCCATTGTGGAAAGAAAAGAAATTCGAGTGCACAGTGTCTGTATTCTGCCACAACTGGTATTTAATTTTTTTTAGTGTACAAATGAATTAAGACAGTTGTATTCAAAAAGTTTCACAATTAATGCAAAACTCTCAAGATATGACTATAAAATAATTAACTTAAGGATCAACGAAAGCTTAACTAAGATCCAAGTGGTGTGTATCCATGGGTGTGCAATAGCAGCATGTTATAAATACAATTATTTATGTTGGCTGAAAAGCTGTCGTTTCAATGGATTCAACGGGAGGGCTCCCGTTGGCTGGATCTGCTTATAAATTGGATGAGGAGTCCGCTGCTGTTTCGGCCACATTGTCAGGGCTGCCGACGGCGACGCTGCAGCTGCTGGTGTTTCGATCGCTGCGAGAACGTATCAGGTGGTTGATGAGATCAAACAGTTGGTCATCGCTAGGGGTCCACTGCAGCAACAGCTGCTGGACTAAGGCGAGACGCTCAGTGTCGCTCTTGAGGATGTCCGGGATCTGGGCCAACAGGCTACTGCGGCAGTTGTTGTTGATCTTGGACTTGGCGCATATGTAGTCGAGCACCGATTGCAGATTGAGTCGATCGCAAACCACCGACGAGAGATTCTCGCGCACAGCGTGGTCCAAAAAGTCCTTGGAGTAATTCTCGGACAGCGTCTCCAGCACATTCGTCTTGAGTTTATCGTTGGTGCTCATCTGGCTGGACAGGAATTTGGCCACTATGCCGGCACTCTTCAGAGTGGAGCCAGTGTCCTCGTCAAAGTAGCGCTGCAAGACGGTCTCCAGGGAGCACCGGCTCACCAGCAGGTCCAGCGCCTTGTCTGTGTCCAAAATAGCGACATCCTGGCAGACGGCGGCCTCTCTCCCCTCCTTGAAGCTCTCTCCAGTGCTGGCTGCACCGGAATGGAAACTGGGAGTACAGTTGTGCGCCGTCGTCGTTGAATCGTTCCACTTGAGGGTGGTGAAAGCATCCTCCTCCACGACATCTGAGGATTTGTCCAGCGTTTTGTCCGCTGTGGCTGACCTGGCCGTTTGCTCGTGGGCAAACTTCTCAATCTCAATGATGCTGTCCAGACGACCACGGCGCTTCAGCGCGGATGTCTGGGCGATCTTGTCCATCAGCAGACAACGCTTGGGCTTGCTGCTGCGACTCTCATCCGCGTCCCGCAGATATTCCTTCGTAACGGACACAGGCGGATCGTGGAAGCTGACCCGCTTGCGCTTCAGGGCAGGCGACTCGTACGACATGGAGTCATCAATGCTCTCACAGCGCAGTTTCCGCTTCAGGATGCTCACCGACGGACTGGCCGAAGGCGAGGGTAGGCGCTTCGAGAACACCAGCAGATCCTTGGCCTGTATGGGGGTGGAGGTATGATCCGTTCCTGTCAGCTCGTTCAGCTCACTGGTGGGCGTGGACAACTGTTCCGCTCGGTCGAGTACACGGGCCGGAGTAACCTGAACACGGGACGACAGGGGGGCATAGGGGGAGATAGAGCCGCACCCGCCGTCCAGTTTCTTGTTGCGAATCATGTTGATCAGCTGAGCCCCTCGCCCTGTCAGATGCCCAGTTGGCTTCGGCCTTAATGTGGGGCTCGTGGAGTTATTGGTCTGTTTGCGATCCGGTGGAGAATTCTGAAAGCAGAGGGAGGAAGCATTAGCATAATCAGCAGAAGGTATGCGTCGTTTACTCACCAAATTGCACAAGCGTGCGCTGGATTTCCTTGGGGAGGTTTCCGAAGCTGGAGTTGCCTCCACACTGTTTCCGGGTAGGAATTGAGTGGAGGGTATCGGTTCCATTGGCATATCCGGTGGGGTAAGTTGGGTTTCGGGGCCATTGGCCGATTTTTCAGGCTCAGCTGAAGATGTAGCTGCTACCTCTGGGAAAAGATCTTCACTCTGCATGGGAGTGGCCTTGGCTATATTTATTTTGGCAACAGCTGAAAGCGAGACAAATAGTTACACACATGTCGATGGGCAAACCAGTTTCGGTTTACTGTCTTGCGCTTACCTGCTGAGCTCGTAGAGGGGGAAGACAGTGACAGTGGCAGTGGCTGTGGCTGCGCCTTCTTGGGCGACCGTGTCTGTCGCTCGGGCGTGGCAGGTGGCTGTGTTTGCGCTTCCCTCAGAGCTGCACGCTTGCGGGTCTGACGCATTGGCACCTCCTCAACGCGCTCCTCCATTGGATCCGCCAGAGTACGTGGCTTCCGGAATTTATTCTTCTCTGTGGTTGCAACGGGATTGGAATTGGAACTGGCCACCTTGCGGCTGGGAGTGACGACAATAGCGGCTGGCTCGTCGATGGGCAGACTTTCCGATATAACGATGACATTATCCTCATCATTATTCTTGCCTGCGATGGCCAGCTCTCCCTGCTTGCTCTTGGCAATCACAACCTTCTTGGGCGTCCACGGTTTGATCGAGTTAGAGTCCTGGGACTGGCTCATGTCATTGTAGAGGGCGGGAATGTCCGACTTCTCTGCAAAACGCTCCTTCTGGCGGTCCGTGAGTTTCTCCGGGTTCAGACTCCATACAGAGGGTATGATAACGAACAGGTCCTCGCCCTTGAATATGTCCTTTAGCTGGTTGGCCATCGTCTTCATTTGCAGCTTACGGAACTTCTCTTGAATTGACCGTTTCCACTCATCCAGAAAGCTGCCTTCGTACTTGTTCTTGTTCCAGCACTGAATGCCAGCCGAAAGAGTCGGCTTGAGGGCATCAAACACCACCATGAGTTCGTTCTGACGCAGATCCAGGATCACATTGCGCAGCGTATTGAGACAAGCCTCCAAGATCTGCTGCGTCGGATGCTCAAACACGGCCTGGAGCAAGCCAAATACGTCCTTGTACAGGGGCGGATCCTTGCAGAGGCCCAGCTTTAGCACTGCCGCCACATACGTGTCGAAGAACTCGTAGAAGAGCGGCTCGTCTTTGCTTTTTAGCAAATCGATCAAGGTTGTCTTCAGGTCCCCCACAAACTTCTTCCGGTCGGGGGCGTTCTGGCCGGCGTGAACGAGCTGTCGCCACTGATCGCAGAAGCTGCTGTCAAAAGCGTTGCTCACGCGCCGCCCGGCGAAGGCGGCACAGGTCTGGAGGGGCCACAGAAGCCAGGTATCCAGCAGGGCGGCATTGTGGGGCAGCCGATACTCGAGAGAATTATCCCGCAGGTAGTTGGTCATGGCCTGGGACACCTGCCGCCAGACGTGCAGCTTAACGGCGAAGTCCTCGTGATCCTCCTCTTCATTGGGCTGCATCAAGAGCTCTGCAAAAGAGCTTAGCAAACGAAATTCGTTTTGGTTGCTGGCATCGATGTTGTCTGTGGCGTAAATCGCCGATATGCATCGCTGCAGGATGGCCGGCGGCACCTCCTTCTTGGCCTTGAGGCACAGTTTCAGGTAGGCCTCCAGGACGTCCAGGAAATCGCTGCCGGCCACCCGCTCCATCTCCAGGCTCTCACTCGCTATGGTGTTAAAGACCGCTCGCACTATGCGACCACCTGACGCGTCAGGACTGAGCAGACTCGACTCGATTTCCCCGCAGCAAGCTATGTTAAAGGAGGCAATGCCCAGCCTGAACATTGCGCGACATAGGTTGCGCATCAGCAGTTGCAGCAACAGCTGCTCCGACTCCGTGGAGTCGTTCTGGGTCAGCAGCTTCATGCCTGCCACAGCGGCAGCCAGCAGGGGACGCCAGTGCTGCTGCAAGACCTCTGAACTCATCAATGGTGAGGGCTGGGTAAGTGGCTCCAGGCGAAGCTCACGCATCAGACGCTGCAGGGGTTCACTCGAGTCGACATTCCACAGCGACACGAGGCAGGGCAGGGCGAGCTCGCGGGACGACTGATAGTTGTGGGCCAACCCGGTGGCCAGTCCCCGCGGTCCGCCGCCGAAGATGAAGATTAGGAAATGCTCGACGGCATTGTCAAAGGTCTTTGGCAACTCTGAGTGAAGGCAGGTGATGAGGTACCACCAGACACGCAGCTTAATCCCGCTCACATGAGAGGAGCGCGACTGAGAGGTGCGCAGGGGTATCAAGAGCAGTCGAAGGCGCTTCGAAGATGCCAGCTCATCATAGGCGGCGAATATCTTGATCAGCACACGCCAGCAAAGGAAGGCCTCGGAGCGCACTCCGTGGTCTGGATTCCGGAAGCCCATCTCAACGATGGCCAGGAATTTGTTAATGTAGGTGCATCCCCGTAGCAGCTCCTCATCCATTATCTGCACCAAAAGGGTCCAGATCTTGTGCCAGTTTGGGTTCCTTGCATCTCGCATCTCCCCAATCAGCGGTGTGTATTTCTCGATAAAGTCGCTCCTTAATTTTTGCCAACATGTGGCCTCATGTATCACCGACACGTCCAGGGCAACCAGAGCCTCCGCCAGAGCAGCCACGGCGCAGTTCTGTATCTTTCGGTCAGCGTCGAACATCAGCGGGAGGATGTCGCCCAGCCAGAATTCTACGAGTTCATTATCTGTGAAGGAAGTGCCTATAAGGCCCGTGGTCTTGCAGCTGGTGGCCAGCAAGTCTATCATCTGAGGGCATCAACCGATGTTTGTTTAAATGATTGTTTTCATACGACAAACAAAGAACGTGATTCTACTTACGGTGCAATAATTCTGACGGCGACCAGCAGCCAACACTTCTTTGGTCGACAGCTGCACTGTGTGGTACGCTTCTCCCGCTTTCGCAACGTCATCGATGTCCATTGCTGCGTTTGCGTTAGCTTTAAGTTAGTTTATTAAATATATAAAGAAGCACTGCAAGGCAATACAAATCCACTCGCAATCTTTTTTCACGCAATTAAAAAAAATTATCAAAATCACGCAAAAATTGTAAGAAAAGCGCGCGAACTGCTGAACAGTGTGACCGTCCGTCAGAAATATACCAAAATATACCGTAAATATACTGACGAAAGCCAGTTCTATTTTACATTTTCCTCGATTTTGATATTCCATCGAATATTACGAGCTAGATGGATCTCTGAGACCTGCTTACTTAATTTTATCCGATTAATAAATCAATTTTCTACTTGACTGGTTTATTTCAAATACTTGACTTGTTTTCTTGCTACGGCGATTGCAGTTTTTGCTCCTCAACAACAATATAGCATCTCGTATGAACTTATCCCACTTCAGCCCCCTCTATTTAACACTTGAGGTAAATGGCGGAATATATTAACGATTGTAAATTCTTCTTGTAGATCCGTGATCTTTCCTCTGAACTTAAAAAAAACCTGAACCTGAACCGTGCTAAAATTATTAAATTTGTATTATTTTCGGTGGAAAATTGAAATTCCCCCTTGGCTTATAATAGGTTAATCGTTCTCCGTCGAGGTTTGGTAACCACTTTGTTTAATTTTGATCTTCCGTCGAATATTACTAGCTATATAGAACATTTAGCCATGCCATCATAATTTTATACGATTGATGAATCAATTTTCTATTTAACTGGTGTATTCTTAATGCTTGCTTGTATTGCATTTTGCGTAAAAAGAGGTTTTAGCGAAATAAGTCAATAGGTCAATCAAAACAAACGGAAAAGGAAATTCGTTCATATTGCTCAATTTTGATATTCCATTGAATAATGCTGACTAACTAAATCTCTCAGCAATGCCCACATAGTTTTATCCCGTTGATGAATACATTTTCTACAAGATTGGATAGTTTTTAATCCTTGCTTTTATTGTATTTATTGTAAAAAAAGGTTTAAACGAAAAAGTTAAACAAAAAAAGAGTCGCTATATTGCGTGTAAGCGGTAGTATAGCCTTTTGTATACCCTATTTTGTAATTTTATATGAAAGTATATACATATATTGATATGAAGATAAAACGTAACTAATAAAGGACTTTTCTCAAATTGACATTTTTTAGACATATTCATGTATATGATGAGTGTTTTGTATATATATCTCGATCCTGATACCTATTCATGGTCCCTACAAGAAGACAATAAGCTTTAAAATATCGTTGAAATAATGAAAATAATATTAAATAATATTGATTTATATTAAAATATATTGAAAATAAAGTGTTTTTGCCTGGAATGACAAACATATTCACAATTCTATAACATCCGTTTCCCCCAGGGTATGTGTGCATGGTTTTCAATCGGGTAAGAGAGGTCCTTACCCGATTCAAGTTCGGTTCGCGATACGATCGACTGGATACGAGTGGTGCGTGCCAAATAGAAATTTTTGAATGAGCGAAAAGGATGTAAATGCAATCTATTGGAATAAATGATACACGTAAGTACGATTTGTGAGCGAAAATTTAAAAAACCTGCGTATGGAAGTTTCTATACCCTTCTTTAAACCCCGAGCGCGCCCTCTGTCATATAAAACCGCGCCATAGAACAGCTTTTTGGTCCCTCATGCCACATCTTAGTATTGTACAGTCTTTGCTATCACTGAACTAGTAGGTTGTGGGAGCTAATGACGTACGTAAGTTAATATTGCTAAATAATTTAGTCTGCATCCATTTAAATAAAACAACTGACTTTTGTCCAAAACTCAATTCTCACTACCTCCAGTAATGCAGTACTTGACGGCGCCATCAATCGCCCAGTCTCTTAATGCCGTTTTGCCAGAAACTCGTTGTCACCTTCGATAGCTCAGTTGGTAGAGCGGTGGACTGTAGAAAGTTTCGTACCGAAGATATCCATAGGTCGCTGGTTCAAATCCGGCTCGAAGGATTTTGTAGTTTTTATTTTTTTTGTTTTTAGATATTTTTCACATACTTAATTGCCGCATAAACCGTGTATACTGAACTCGGCTACTTAGTCGGATACTATTATTAGCTAGAACAACTTTTTTTTAAATATCTTTATATTTTTCCTTTATTTCTGTAATTTGTTCATTATACTAGCATAAGTAAATTATAGACTAAATAGATGTACATTTATTAATTTGTAGTATGTAGTATTTGATGGATTTACAAATGTACATACGGCGGGGGGCGAGGGGAGAGCTTAGATGACTACAATTTACAAGTTTATTTTAAAGCAGGCAGTTTGCCAGTAATTACTATAGGTACTTAAGAGTTATTGCGAATTAAACTAAGGCTACGGTACACTATGATTGGTAAAAGTAATTCGGCGGCCACGCCCCGAGCTGAGTGAAGCGATCGTCATCGTCATCAGCACGATCTTTTCCAAATCCTCCACAGCTGTCGAGCGATCGCCCATCGCCATCGCTCATGGCTGCAAAACCAATCGACAGAAATTGAGATCAATTTAGCAATGACTGAACTATTTGACTAATTGATTGAATGCATGAAGATCGACGTGGTATGAGTGTTCGGAATTTGGTCGAAACTTGATTCGAAAGATTCAAATTGTTTGGCAGTTGATCGAGTTGGTGATGCTTGTGCTTGTGGTGGTTGTGGAGTAGGGACTGGAGTTCGAGTTCGAGTTTGAGTTTGAATTGGTGGTGTTTGTGGTGGCTGTGGCTGTGGAAGCGACGGTGGAGATGATGCTCGAGATGCTCCGCCGATTGCGTGCCCTGGCGGCTCTTTGCGACCGACTATGCGCTAAATGTTATTCTTTCTCGCTGCGTATCATGATCTTTTTCTGTACCAGCTTGCGTACCTGTTGCGTTGTGGGTTGTGACATGCCGCCCTGCTGCTGCTGCTGCTGTTGCTGCTGCAGACCGCTCACCGTGGGCAAGGTAGTGGTGGTCTGCGTTATTGTCATCACCTCAGCGGGCCCCGATGTGGGCCCAGCGATGCTAGTGTGTTGCTGATGCTGTTGCTGCTGCTGTTGTTGAATCTGTTGTTGATGTTGCTGTTGTTGTTGCTGGACAACAGCCAGCAGGTTCCCACCGGCAGTGGTTTGCAGCCGGACGGGACTGGCATTTTGCCGCTGATTGTGCTGCAGAGCAGCAATCAGGGTCTGCTGCGTGGTCTGGCCCCCAGCGGCCACTTTCAGGGCGTTGGCAATGCTTGGGCTACCCACGTGAGTGCGCAGGCTGCCGGCAGCAAGGGCCTGGGCAGAGGCGGCCGATACCACCTGCAAGAGCGGAGAGGATTGTTGATTGATTCCTCTAGAGGAATTCTTGGATAGGTAACCTACCTGGATCGTCTGCCGCTGATTGGCCTGCGAGGCCACCGACACGGGTATGACCCGTCCGACACTAGTCTTGCCCAGCACCAGATTCGTGGTGGCCAACGTCCCCTGCTGCCCACTGCGCATAACCTGTTGGAACTGCTGCACCGTCACCGAGCTGGGCAGCGTCTTGGTGTTTTGAATGTGCAACAGCTGGGCCTGGACACTACCTCCACCGGTTGTCACCTTCTGCTGCTGCTGTTGTTGGCCTGCCACCGTGGGCAGGGTTCCCCCACCGGTGACGGTCATACCGCCAGACTGCTGCTGCTGCGGCTGGGGACCGGACACAATGTTGGTGGCCGTTGGCTGTCCGCTGGCGCTTACCAGCTGTGTCATTCGGCTGATCTTGCGCGGCATCGTCAGCTGTTGCTGCATTTGCAGATGCCTCATGGGCATGGTCACCTTGATCTGGCTTCCGGACTTGAGCTGCGGCAAAGGGATGTTCACGCTTCCCGCCTGCACCGTGGGACCCGTGGCGGAGACTGTGACTCCACCCGCGCTCACACTGCTCCCGCTGGCTGCCGCCGCCGTGGAGGCCTTCACCAGGGATGCAATCTGCTGCTGGGTGACCTGCTGGGGCTGTACCTGTCCGGCCACTGGCAGCTGTCCCTGTTGCTGCTGTTGCTGAACGGCCGTGGTGGTGGTGAAGAGGGCGCCCGTCGCCTGCTGGGCCTTTTGGGTGGCCAGTATGTTGTGTCGCTTAACCAGAAGCATGTCTCCGGCTGCCGCTGATGTGGTGCTGCCATCCGCCGATATCACCTGACGCTGCAGACTTTGCTTGCTGGCCATTTGCTTGATGAACTGCGTCCGGGCCTGGCCGTGCATCTGGACACTGCTAACGACGTTGGCCGCCTGTACGACGCCAGCTCCCGGCATTCCGGAGACGGCCACCTTCTGGCTGGTCACATGGGTGGGCATGTTGCCGGCCTGGATGATAGTACCCGCTGTCTGCACCAGATTGGCAGTGGCCACTCCACCGCCTGCTGTCCCACCAACGGGAGCCGGCTGCGTCTGCAGCACCTTGAGGCTACGTTGGCGATACAGCTGGATGTGAGCGCCTCCCGGCTGCTGGGTTCCGGGAATGACCGTCGTCTTCCCTCCCTGCTGAAGGGCAGTCACTGGAATGCCCTTGGTGGTCACCAGCTGTGTTTGTGTGGCTGGGGACGTGGGCACTGCGGCCAGACGAAGTTGCGTCTGGAACTGGGCGGGACTGACGCCCTGGCCTAGGTTGGGCACGGACACAATCGACTGTCCGGCTGCATTTGTTCGCTGCTGCAGCGTGTTTCCCGTGGAAGCGGACACAATTCGCTGACCCCGCAGCATGGCGGTGTTAAGTGTGGTCACTGCCGTGGTCTGCTGTTGCTGCTGTTGACTGGCAGTGGTGGTCAGCACGGAACCCACGGTGGGCAGTGTGCTCACGGAGACGACCTGGGGCAGGGTCTGGGTCTGCACAATGCTTCCTAGCTGCGGGGAACTGTTCACGGGGAGCGTTGTCTGTGACGAGATGGACACGATCTGGGCCGCGCTGCCAGACTGTGTCTGAACAACGGCCGGCAGACTCTGTACGGGCGTTGTCAGCACCACGCTGACGCTGGATTGGCCCGGGTTGGCAGCGGCCGACTGGTGGGCCAGCTGCTGCAGCTGTCCTGCCGTCAGAT